ACACACACACACACACACACCACTACCACCATTGTACTTTTCATCAAAAAGTCAGCCTATCGCACTTGTACACATATTGGAATTCACGTGCATGTCATGTATATACACCCACACACTCATACTTGTAGTTGTTTGATGTAGACAAACCAACAAACCAAAACTCGCCTAACCGCTTTGCATAAACACATCATGATGTATACAAACTCCTTAACGAGCATGAGCTGATCGTCGAGCGTCAAATCGAAATGATGCCATCATCAAATGTAAATAGGTAAGATCTAATCTTCAGCACATGCAGAAGCATACGTACACATACACGAGTACAGAAGCACTATTATGTATAGTATCGCACAGGTCACACCTCAGGGTTCATATATAGACAGTCATGCATCGTATCAAATTTTTCGGCACCATTGAGTGTCAGAAACGCGTGATCGATGTCCAACACATACATTGAGCATACTTGCACAATCCATTGCTAGAAGTACACAACATGAAGCCTGGCAAATCTCACGTGTCAGTTTGCACACACACCTTAGCGTTCATGTGTAGATAGTCAGGCATCAAATTATAGGGTACGCCACCATCGGGTGTCAGGAATTCATGCCCGATATCTAGCACATATACAGCCGCGGCGTGCGTGGGATCGGTTTCGTATGTGTCCTTCAAATTGGCATTGATGATCTGATGTTTGTCCCTGAGTCTATTTGGGCGCTCACCTCGAGGAAGCAGGGCCTGTGACCAGAGTGTGAAGATCATATGGATAACTTGGTAGTGAGCTAGATTTCGAATGTATAATGACTGAAAGTGGTATGTAGTTCCGTACTAGGGCACACATAAGAAGATGCTCGTACAGGTGAAGAGATGGGTCGACAGATAGCTCAACTTTTATCAACATGAACATTTATAGACAGCTGAGAATTTTCCTCCCATATCCGCTGCGAACGCCAGATGAATGTAACTAAGACTTTGCGCAGATGCAATACAAGGATTCGAGTAGCATCACCACGAACGATACTTGGCAGGAAACGAAGTTAGACTGGCATGTCAGTATGGAGAGTACCCCAATACCTACCATCACCACTATCCTTGCCGAGGGCTTCTCTGTGCGGATGTAGTTGACTATGGCTTTGATGCCTTTGATCGTATCCTCGGCATCCACCCCGTGGTTGTTTGTACCAGCCATGATTACCACCACCTGTGCATTACGCCGGGATACATACATATTCAAAGTTTCATGTCATGTGGATTGGGAACTCCCATGTGTAGATTGAAAGTACTGGTGATTGATCATGGGTGACGACGACGACGTTCATTGCACCACACCGGGTTGCTTGTACACTCAGAACGAGAAGACAAAATACTTCATTGGTTGTAGATAACAGGTAACTCCTTGATGTGCATTCATGCTTAAGAGCTTCCCGTGTGTAACTACAGTTGTGATCTATGCCCATATTGTTGCGACAAGAAAATCGATAAGTCACTGTCTCTGTGGCCTATGAGCTGCCATGCTAATGTACGTGCAGAATACGTTAGTAGGGATGGCAAGCATCGTACTCTGATGCAATACATTGAAACACCATATCCTCCGCCCTTTTCGGACATTTCTGTCCTATTTTTAATATCACGATGTGTTGGGTTTCCCGACTTACCCTGTATGACCCAAGGTTTTTAGAACACAACGCGGAAACAGATACTACGGGGGTCGGTGTGTGTTCCATCAATGTTTTAAACCATTTCTTAGCAAACATCGTTTATAGCACAAACATCGCAACGAGGCTGATGGTCTGCTGTGTGACAAGAAGAAATTGTACTCAGTTTCTGTCTCAATAACTACCAGACAGTGATACAACCCTTTACCTGCCACAATCACCTGGTATACAAGCATTCCCTGTCGTAGATAGCGCCCACACACATCACAACCGAAAACTACATTCTAGTGACAGATCCACTTACCATTTAAAGAAACTACACCGTGCGATGTGTCAGTACCTCTGAGTAACTTCACAGATATACCATCGAAGGTACTCACACGCACACCTTCATACATAAGACACGGGTGCAATGCTTGCAATCATGCTTGCACCGATGAGGTCGTATTCGACTAAGACTTTAAGTCGCGTAAAGCCTCTTCGCACCCCACACAAACACACAAGTCTAGTGTCGACCTTATGTATCGAAACCAAAATTAAACAGCCTCGTGAGGATGCTTCAGAACCTTCGAATCATAGTTAAGTCCTCCACACACATAATACACGGGCACCCTCAGTGTATCTTGATCAATGTGGGCCAAGGCTTCATAAGCGCACGCTCGCATATCGGTAGCCTTGGTCGAGTCACCAAATGTACACTACACAGGCCGACACATACGCTGCCTTATATTGGAATGCTTACTTTTACCTTCCAGAAGAAAAGCAACAAAAGTTGAGTGCGATCAACGACGTCTGTGACGTGTGCGCTGTTACCTTGGGGTTGGTGGGGGTTAGTTCACCATTCTGCAGACGCCATAGTATATGTTCGGTACGATCGCCGCCTATGCCTAGGTTAACCGTTTGAGAATCCCAGCTCTGATCCCACGACTAGGCAGTGAGTGAGAACGATATAGGAATAAGGTGAGTAGACACGATTTGGGGAAGGGTGTTTACAAGTTAGAAATTCACATAAGAAAGCGGTATAGTGGTTGATGTACTGCAGAAAATTCTGAGGAGCGGTGTAGGTGAAGTGAACCTATCTATAAAAAAATTCAAGTCAACCCCTGTAGTGTCTGCTGTGGGATTGGGTGGGGGTTGCACGACGGTCGTGAGTGGCTTCTAATTCGGATACACACATTAAGATGTGACTCCCGATTTGTTAGTGCTCCTTGCAGCCTTCACGCTAATCAATTGACACCCATACAGTGCAAGGAATTTGACTGATACTTGTATACTGCAATCGTACGCATACGTTGATTAGCTTTCTTTATACGGGTTTCATTAGTGCAATACTTCACACGAGCCTCGCTACAAGACGGTGACGTGGCCCAATGAGTTATAAACATATAATGGTGTAGTACAACCCATTGCACGAGTGGTCTTACCATATCTGTGTGGGACCGTCTCTTGCACTACAAATGTCTCAACCCAACTGGGCTGGACAACACGCACACACTTAATACCAGCCACGTGTTCAGCTGGCCGACAGGCCCGTGCACCCACAACGACATGTGCGCAACCACTCCAAGGTATAACGTACCGCGTAGTCACGCCATCTTTGTATAAGACTGTCTCCGGCAAATACGTAGGGCTTAGTGTTGCCTGCGTCGGCGTCGCGTGTGAGCTTGGCGTGCTGTGTGCGGGAGCATGATTACAAATCGTTGACTTGAGTTTGGGAAGAGACTTGCGCTTCACCAACAGACCAGAATACGACATCGCACGGGGTGAGATGGATGCGAGACTGGCAACGTGCATAGACTTCTGACTATTGGAGATGCATTATGCTGGCTCGATGTCATAGGGTCGACTAGAACACTGCTCACCGGTATTGTGTAGTGTTCATTAAACACGCACCGGAAAAGAATTTAATACAAACTGAATAATTCCTATATATACTAGAGAACCCCGACTCGATTAATACATACATGCATGCACTACAGGTATATCAATCGAATACAATTCAGAAACACGTATACATACTAACGGATACATGCGGTATATACAATACGCTTGCATATGAATATTAATATGGCGCATATTCTCGTTGTATTTATATGAAAGCATTCGTGCAATGATGCAAGCGAAAGTAAATCTATGCATACCATGGAATCCCACCGACCGTCCCCATGCATATCAGCAATAGGAACGCCGCTAGCTGATCTGGAGTGGGACATTCTTTTTGTTGGCGAATCTGCAATAGGTTCAGTATAAACAATAAAAATTCAGTACAGAGTTAATTCAGATTGTGAGGACGAGATTCGTCAATGTAAGATACGATGCAATGTGTACTCAATAACAATGATGATCGTAGTTGTGGCAGTGAAATGCCGTCGTGTGCATGATGTATATACAGAATCGCGCACGTGTATACGAACTCAATTTTGGTGGACATGTCGGTATAAAATATGAGAGTATTTGAAAAGCGTGCAGAACCTCAATCTTCCGCCTTCTTTCTTATATGACTAAACATAATTAGTACATCGTGCTGACATTACACCTCAACGTCTGTCTATCTCTAGAACTTGACAATCTGGGGGGGAGGGGGAATACGACCTTTATCTTGTTACAGAAAGGTCAATGTATAAAATTGGGTACAAAGTTAAAGCACAAGTAAAATTACAAATGTTTGTAGACCGATTTCTAAATGGACATACAACGCTAAACGTGCTGCATTTAAACATCGACGTGAACAAGCATATAACGTATACGTGAGTGTGTAATTTTAGGTATGCTTTCTTACAAGTGAGAATAACATCTGTGGCAATATGTATAACTACCTGTATCCGAGTTGGCGTCGGCCAGATTGTTGGAACAATGGATTGGGCACACGTTGTGCCGTCTTTTAAAAATCTAAGTAAACGGGCATCTATAGATATACATGTATATGTATGAATACACCTCCCTGTAAGTGCTATCACGACCGTATGAGAGAAATACAAAATGCCTTACCTGTGAACGAGTTGGCGTCTGGCAGATTATCGGTTTGCTGGTGGAAGAGGACGAACAGTACCAGACAGACCAATATGCCATTAACTATCCAGGATACTTTGATTTGAGCCATCAAAAAGATCCCGTAGTATAGGACGCGTGAAGCAAGACTATTTGAAGGAAGCCACGGCACCGGGGATGTGAGTTAGGAACAAGTGTATGTGACCACAAGAGAGAACGGAGTTGAGTCGAACTATATATAAATATATGGTGCGTGTGTGGTTGGGTGGGTGGGTGTGTACACGTGTACGTGTACGTGTGTGTGTGTGTGTGTGTGTGTGTGCCTGTGTGTGTGGGTGTATACACCCGGATGTATATATATATCGATACATGACTCGTGAATATGAAAGTATATACTTCTTACTATATGAAAAAAATCGAATTTTCAGTTTTTTTAGTTTTTTTTTAGTCTTATCGATTTCCATCGCAACGCAGCAACGGTCACTTCACACTCGACATATCAGCTACCATCATAATATATTTTCACACGCGTGCATGTTATCGTTTAGAACTACACTATATTTGGAGGTATTTGTGTGATTCTATATAATCATACTCAACAGAAAGGTCATATCAACCATATTATGACAGATTGCATGTACTCTATTTATAAACTTTTTCGATTTCATGAGGATTTTGTGAACCTACATAGACTTGTACTATACAATCGTCGTGTGCATGTAATTTATAAGCTCACACCATATTAATCAAGCCTGTATGTAGTTCTATAGATTTACATCAGCATATAATTGTACTCAATACAAACATAGCGTGTTCTCTTCTACGCCACAGACTCTACCATGTCTGATAGAAGTAATATTGTTGACATTGTGTCGGCAGTGCCGGTTGAATCCCCTACACCGACAAAGGTAAAAGTTGCCAAAAGGAAAAGCAAAGTAAAGCTGGGCCTGCCGGACGAGCTGTCCAGCAAAAATGTGGTATGTACTAGATATATATATGCATGTATTT